TGAAAAATTGGGGCTAAACTTTTCAATATGCGCAAACCGTGACTGAGCTCCTTTACCATCCCATATCCCTAAAATAAGTCCCCCAAATATCCCGATTCCCGTTAATTGTTTTACCCAAATATCCCGTATCCCGAACATACGGCCATAGTAGGAAAAAAAAGCTTCAAATAGTTTGCCATTTATGAGGCCCCATCCAGACTACGGCGGAAAAATTGAAAACGCAATTTTATTTTGACGATTTGGCCTACCGTCCAACTAATCCGTCACGAAAACGGAGCCAATTCCGGCGAAAACGTTCTTCGAACTGGAGGAATTTGAAAACGCCGGCTTAGCGTTTTGGTGTGGACAGAAAAAATGTTGAAAACGGCGGAGCAGTTTCGAGAACGATGTGATTTCCCTGCACGAGTTTTCCTCAAACACAAATGCAAAGTGACCGGTGATTGTTGCGTTCTTAAATTTCTCTGGCGTAGTGTGGACGGAAAAGATTTGATGCAGTTTCAGACTGAAAACACCGTTTTCAAATATCTCCGGCGCCGTGTGGTCGACGGAGCTTAAAAGTGAAGACAACTCCTGTAATCTTGTTTTCTTTTCATGCCATTGTGACTCCCTCATCTACATAGCGTGTTTTTCAACAGAGCAGAACACTATTATATCAAATGAATATTTAAGAGTTTTCTATAAATATAAAGCTAACATTGTGCAGTAGACTGGCTTGTTGTAGACCGCAGTGCTGTCTTATAAGACCTTATAACTGTTAGGGGAAATACTACCTAACGCCGAGTTTGTTTGTTTGGTATTTGCGGTATTCAGTTTTCTAAACGTTTTGTAGCTTCACCTCTGTCATATAACTATCAAAAATCAGTAATTGAATATAAAAATGGTAAAAATAACACATTGTTATTTTTTGAAATGATGTACATTAAACATCATTAAATATACTAACATTTCGTTAAAACATAGTAACCGCTATTAACTGATGAATTATCTACAGTAGTTACATCCCATTAATGGGAAGATGGATCCTTCTTGTAGCCTCTTGTCGTTAAAAAGGACTGATTTAATTCTCTATGCTGTTTCATATTTCACATCTTGTGGGTACTTTCGTCATCGTGGTTTTAGTTCGAGACTCGAGGTCCTCTGTTTTGAAACAGACCAACAATATCAACAACACCTTTGTGCACTATATTTGATAAATGTTTTGTTGTTGTTGCTTTTTTTGTTTTGCTTATATCGACTCATACATGTTAAAACGACGCTGCCCTGATGCTGCGTGAGCAAGGCTTTTGCAGCCAGTTTGAGTCAAGCCTTTGACAAGTTTGTAATATGGAAAATTACGAAGGCGACTTTCTGTCTAGTGCTGTTATTTCGTGTGTTCAAGTTAAAAATACCGAAGTCGAGTTATTTTTAGTCTCAACAGCACTCCGCCAGTAGCTTGATTAGTATGGCGGTTAGCCTGAATAACACTCTGTTTAGCTTGATCCTTGATTAGCACTCCAGTTAACCTGATTAGCTCTCATGTTAGCTTCAATAGCACTCCGGTATGCTTAGGTTTACCTTTAGGGTTGGGGTTAGCTTTCATATTGAGGCAAGCGTGGCACTAGATTCGAAACTCAATGTCATTATCGTCTGTTACCACCTCATATAAGCGTGTGCCACTGTGCTACAGCACTTCGAGGCGAAGAAATCATATCGTTCCAGTGAGCGAGCCCTTGACCGGTAGAATACATGTATGGTCCAACAACTGCTCGACCAATCAGTTTCTTTGATCCTCCGAGCCTCGGTACCGTGTACACAGACAACATGAAACTGACACGATCGAGGCACGTGGGAAGAATGGTGAAGACAAACGCTTCGTTGTACACCGGAAATGCAGTCTTCTTGTTGATAACTGTTTTTCGCTTTTTTAAGGTTTTTCCTCCCATTATCATGGACACTTTGACATATGGATCTGAAAGAATGCATTTGTTTACATAAATTATTTTTTTTGAGGGGTGGGGGGGAGGGGGTAGAAGTATTGGATCAAACACGAAAGACCGTGTTTGACCACATTTCCAAACACTGAGAAGAGACGAACACTGACGATCGTCGAACGAGGTGCTTTAAAATGTGGTCAAACACTGTCTTGAGTGTTTGATATATATTCTCAATAAAACTAAGGGGAAAATGGAAAATTAAAATCGTAAAAGTCTAAGCTAATTAAGATCAGATATCCAAACACCAGCACGGTCATGATTTCCATCGCTTAAACTTGATGAATTATTAATGAGTTTTAGAAAAAAGGAGCAAAACAAATGTAGTCTCTTTTCCAGGCTCCAAGCGGGGCCACTGACCTAAATCTGTTCCGTCTCCATTTAACTTCAAATCTTTAGCCTTGAGAACAGCTACTGTAAGTCTGCATGCAGTAGGAAGGAACTGAAGGGAAAACAGCAATTCTCCCTTGTCCACGCCACTCTGTTAAGGGAAACAAAATTGAAGATGAAACGTTACGCGGTCGATTAGAACTGTTATTATATGGTTAGCTCCCTTGAGCGGGCAAGATGAACCAAATCCTACACTATGATTAGCTACCCGAGCGGGCAAGATGGCGCCAGCCCGCTCGGGATTACCCGCTGTGTCCCGCAACAAAATAGTGTTCTATCTCCATGAATCCTTTATTGACCAAGCTTGTTCTGTCAAGATGGCTGGATATTGGTTTCGTTCTTTTTTTTTTTTTTTGCTTGCTTATGACCTCTTCCGTCTCAGACTCTCGGTCCATAAAAACTCAAAACAGAACTTGAATCGAAAACGAATCCAGCCATCTTGACCTCACACTTAGTCAATAACCCATATTTCAGCTTTCATATTAACTGTAAATGGCTAATCATCAAAGGACAGTTCAAAACTGAGAAAGATGTAACATTCATGATATGGTGTCACGACTGTGGCGCAAAGAAGGCAGTCCCTCGGAACTCGAACCCAGGAAGCCGAACGGGCGATTTCTCATTTCACTACCGAGCTTAAAAACTTGAGAGTCAAACTAGCTTCCAGGCCCTTTCAGGACAGCCATGGCCGGACGAAGACGATAACACTTAAGGTGGTATGGTACCCTCAATATGGACCAAAAAGTTTGTTTAAATATGGTAAAGAAAGATCAATTGTGTGCTATTGCACTCAAGAAGAGAAATTAAATTTCTAGAGTTTTACTCAAAATGGTTGCTATGGAAACCAGCCACAGCCATTTGAAGTAGTGTTTTATAGTATTGACGCCAACACTTCCT